TATCCCATACATGTCCCAAGTTTCATTAAAATCTGATGAGTGGTTCTTCAGATATCATTTGGACAGACACATATAAACAGACAGGGTAATTATAAAGATTTCTATTGTGCGCTTCACACACACACACTAGTTAATAGCCATTATTACATCAACATAATAATCCATACATTTTGTTTTCAATATTATTCATGATTTATTACAGAACAAATATTGACCATGAAAAACAACAAATGTTGAGTTTTTGAAACAATAAGTGAAAACACAAATCTTGAACAAAAGAAGAACATATGAATTTAAATTGTATTCATGATTGATAAAACTTAAAATATCACCTGCAGGTGTTTATAACATGTATTCTGATTGGATAAACCCAACCATGTGACTACAGCTCAGCCAATGAAAACGCATGATATAAACTATATTGGTCAACACAATAGGGAAATCAGACTTAACAGGTTGACAAATTAAAGTTACTAGTAAGGCAAATATAAAGTACCAAAATAGTGAAGAAAATGAAAGTTTGTTTTTCTTGGCAATATTATTGCTACAATCGTAAACATGAAACACTGATAAATTAAAAACTATTAATTAAAAAAATTAATTATTATGAAAATTAATTGACAAATGTGGAATAGCACCCTGAAATATGGATATATTTCTAGTTCCAAAGTAACAGCAAAGTTTGGCAAATTTGTTATTGTTACTTAAGGTTAAAATTATGCAAAAATGTAATTTAATGAATACAAGAATGATCTGAATAATTGGAATAATGTACTGTCATTGTTTTTTTCCTTCATACTGTCATGATCAGCTACAAGTCAAATAGGCTGTTTGAATGTCCAATAGAGCTCAAATGATATCACCAAGAGGTCACATGATGTCACCTAGAGGTCAAATAATGTCAAATAGGCTGCCCATTAGTCCAATAGAGCTGAAATGATGTCAAATATGCTTCCCAAAGTCCAATAGAGCTCAAATAATGTCACCTAGAGCTGAAATGATGTCAAATAGGCTGCCCATTAGTCCAATAGAGCTGAAATGATGTCAAATAGGCTGCCCAGAAGTCCAATAGAGCTCAAATAATGTCACCTAGAGGTCAAATGTCAAATATGCTGCCCAGAAGTCCAATAGAGCTCAAATGATGCCATCTCGCAGTCAAATGGTGTCACCTAGAGGTTAAATAATGTCAAATATGCTGCCAGAAGTCCAATGGAGCTCAAATGATGTAACAGAGAGG